CTCAGCCTCTCAAGTGCTAAAATTGCAGATGTGCGCCACCACCCCCAACATTTTTTTTGTTTAAAGACAGGGTCTGGCTGTGTAGTTTAGGCTGACCTTGAACTCACTATATAGCCTAGGCTGGCCTCAAACTTGCATTGATCCTCCTGCCTCAGCCTCCCAAGTGCTGGGATTATAGGCATGTGCCACTATGCCTAGCAGCTTGCTCATTTATTTACATTAACTTTCCCCCATAAGTTCACGAGGATAAGGACTTTTGTATGATTTGTTACTGATTTATTCCCAGAACCAAGAATATTGTGTGGCACAGAGTAGATGCTCAGTAAATACCAGCAGCCTGGATAACTGTCTTTTTAAATTTCAAAGATCTATGATGACTGTGTTCAATACTTTATCACTTGGCATTTAATTATAGATTATTTCAGACTTTATCTCTTTTACTGTATTCTCAAGCAAACTATAAAAAAAAATTTTTTTTTTTTTGGTTACCAGGGACCAAACTAGGGACCTTGCACTTGCAAGACAGGCAGTGGCACCACTGAGCTAAATCCCTGGCCCTATAAATAATTTTTGATATCCTTCTATATTTTTCTCTCCTTCATCCATGTACTCTTTCACTAAACACATTCATTAAAGATATGTTGAACCCTATTATTGCATTATATGCCAAGTCCCATTCTTCTAGCAAAAATTTGAGCTGACAATTGCACATAAATATATACACATGACACACAGAGGCAAGAAACAAGACTGGAGGAAAGAATAGAAGAAAAACTAGTAAAACAGAACTCAACATTAGAATAAAGGAACAGAGTACACAGGGTGAATGTGCCAGACAAATGGGTAGAAGGAAAAATAAGACAGAATAGTGAGAGACTAGGATGTTGCCAGTCACCAGATGGTACTGTTAAAAAAAAAAAACTGTACCAAAGCAGATATGCAGATATTTCCTACATGAATTCTTAAAATCCACATTTTAAATTATCTGCAGGCTACCCTGGAGGTGAGAATTAGAACAAGATAGCGACATCTGGTGGATATTTTGGAAGTGACCCTCGAGTTTCTCTACTGTGACAATACTGAATAGCCCCATATTGTATTACTGCACTGTGTCAGCGCTCCACATTACTAAGTACATTACCAAAAACAATCTTTTTTTGGGCGCCTACGGTCTCATTACACGAGGTAGCCAGATTTCTACCAAGTCCTATCTACCTTCCAACTAACATTCAGCTGTCTTCTGAAAGAGGTACATTTGGCATCACAATTCTTTTTTTTTTTAACAAGGTAGATTGAGTAAAATGTTCACATCCTTTGAAGTAGTCGTAAACTACTTATTTACCATGTAAGAGATAGGGGTGGGAGAATCTAAAAAAAATCGAACAACAAAGGTCTGCTTAAGAAAATTACAGCCATTATACTGTCTGCCAAACACATTTCCCATTAAAACAAATGCTTGTAGCCAGGAGCAATGGCACACACATGTAATCCCAGCACTCTGGAGGCTGAGGCAGGAGAACTGCCTAAGTTCAGACCAGCCTGGCCTACACAGTGAGTTCAAAGCCAGCCTGCACTACATAGCAAGACCCTGTCTCAAAAAAAATTTTTTTAAATAACTTTGTATTAACAAACATGAAGCAATGTTTCCACATGCCATAGCTGGCTTGCACAGCAAGAAGACACTGGGCCCCAGACAGCCCTAACAACAATTTAATAATGATATGATTTTTCCTCAGAAATTATACAGAATGGCTCTCGACAGTCTCCTAGTTTGTATCTTGCTTTCTCCCCAAACTCTTTCCTGAATTAAAAGGATTTAAGGCAGATGCTTTAAGATCTTCCATATCAATTGGAATTCTGTAATTTTTCTTTGACTTTCAACCATTTGCACTGCAGAATTTTCATGCTAAGTTTCACTGTTCATAAATATTTATGTATACTACAATTTCATCATGGATTTGTTATCAGGATAATAAATCTTTGCCCCACCCCAAAAAAACATAAAGTGAGAAGAAGCAATCAAAAGCTTGCACATAATATGATCTCATGTAAAACATGTTACACAGAAAAAATACTGAAAGAGTATAGTATATTATCAATGTTTGCTTTGTTTTTTCTTTCTTTCTTTTTTTTTTTTTTGGAGAGGAGGGTACCAGGGATCACACTCAGGACCTTGTGCTTACAAGGCAGGCACAGAACCACTGAGTTTTTTTTTTTTTTTTTTTTTGGACTGGGGATCAAACTCAGGACCTTGTGTTTGCCAGGCAGGCACTATGCCACAGGGATACATTCCCAGCCCAATGTTTGTTTTTGGATGTGAGACTTATGGATTAGCGTTTTGTTTGTTTGTTTGTTTGTCTGGTTGTTTTGCAATACTGGGGAATGAAGTTTGGGCTTTCCCATTGAACTGTATCCCCAAACCTTTTTATTTTTCATTTTGGCATAAAGTCCCACTAAGTTGCTCAAATGAGACTTGAACTTGCCAGCCTCTTACCTCAGCCTCCCTCAGCTGTAGAGGCTGTGTTTTTACTTTTTAATCATAGTCTGCAATATTTTTCAAATTTCTGTAATTAGCACACTTTTTTTGTAATTAGCACACATTATTTCTACAACAAACTTTAAATCTTTTTCTTGTTTTTGTTTTTTCTTTTTTTGGTACCAGGGATTGAATTCAGGACCTTGCACTTGCAAGGAAGGCAGCAATGCCAATGAACTAAATCCCTGACCCTTCAATGCATATATTCTTAACTGCTAAAGTTTTCAATTTCTGCCTGATTTTACTAATTCCAGAATGACAATTAATCAAGGCTCTAGTATGCTACAATTTCCACAAGGAGAAGACAGAAACAAATATAATAATTCTGTTCCAGGATCTGAGCCCTGATGAAGAAATGCTTCAGATGCAAAACTGTAATGCAGGGAGTGTGAAATAGGAAGAAAATGGCTAAAGAGGATGGGGGAAGAGGAGGGGAAAGGAAATAAGGAAAGAGAAAAAATGGAAACAAATTCTTTGTAAATAGGGAAGGGTGAAGGGGGTGAAGGGAGAGCAGGGATATGGGGAAAAAACAAGAACCAAAATATGTCATGTAAAGGAAAAAGATCCCAATGATAAATGTAACTGTATTGTTTGCTTTAAATGTACCAATAAACTTAATGGGGAAAAAAATTGTAATGCATTTCCAGTAATGTCTTCAATTCCTCTCCACAGCATACCAGAAACTTACAGAGGGCTCTGCTGGCAGCAAGGTGTTACAGAATCTCACAATCACATGAGTCCCCATCTTCAAAGTCCCTAGAAGAGCCAAATCAGGGCCACCTTAAAATAGGAAAAGGAAAAGGAAGAAATGTGCAAATTTACAGAATGGGTGGGGGGATCCAAAAGTTACACCAGCCTCGTTGAGGTCATTCTCCTCCTCCAAATCTACCAACTTAAGTTATCTTTAAGTACCAGAAATAGGACCCTGGCTAGCCAAAAATCAGTACCACCGCAGTGGTATTTTAAAACTTAGTTGTTTAAGTTTTTTCTGTCCTTTTCTCTCCTTCCTTCATTTCAAGGATCACAGGGTAACAACACTAGGAATTCTACTTCTGGCATTTACCCGTTTCATCTTTAGAAATTCAGCTTTAACCCAAAAAGACAGCATGAAGACTGCTAAATCCCCGGCAAGCATTTATAATTTTAATACAGGATTCATACACAGAAGCTTGCATGTACAAACTGTTATCATTTACATCATCTTACTCGACCCGCATGGTAAATAACCCTTGGAAATAGCTACATTTCCCCCCCTGCTAACATGTAGAAAGCAGGCTAGGGAGTTGCTCCATTAAGTGGTGGAGGAATCCTTCAGTCCACTCTTATGAATCCACTTGCACCCAGTAGGTCTGTGCCAGATAACAAGCCCCGGGAAAGGGAAGGTAATGATGACGATGATAGTGGCAGCCACACACAAACACACACACATTTGACTACATGATAGTTACCATTGCAAGTGCTTTAAAGTTTCACAAGCACTCTCTGGGGTTGATACTATTACCAAATTTTTTGTGGGTTTCAATTCTACTTTCAGTACCCTACCCATCTTCAGAGAGTTATCCTTCTTAGGCACCAATCTAAAGGCAGCGATGTAAGCGGGGATGGTGAACAGGTTGAGAGAAGGAAGTACGTTGCTACTGTCTCCAAGCTCTGAAAGTTTGAAGTGGGAACTACACACCAAGAATCTACCAGATTCTGAGCGAGGGCAGACCGTGAACCTTCCGCCTCCCTTCTGTTACCCCACCTTGCCCCTTCCGCATGTGCCCAGTTTCAGTCTGGTTGATCAACCATTGGTAAGGATGTTTCCCACTTACCCGCCACCCTTCAACACCTACCTCTTACTATCCGTCTGTCTAGTTCAACTCCTCTGTCAGCCCTCGTGAGCTCCGTCCGCATGTGCTCTGTCTGCGGCCGCTGCGTTCCCGCTGCCATGGCGATGCGGAGGCCCGCCTCCACTCCGCTGCTTTCTGGCGGCGCAAACTTTCCCTGGCAGGTCTTGACCCCGCCCCCTGCCTTCCAGACGGCTCCTCCAACCTCCTGGGTACGTCCCCGCCAGAAGGCGCCTTGTGCCCTGGGGACCCGGATCACGCCTCCTGGGAGGCCCCGCCTCCTCACTGGCCTGAACCCCGCCCACAGTTTCAGCTCCGGGCGACCCGACCCGCAGGAAAGCCTCGCCCCAGAAAACGAACCAGGCCAGTTCCTCTCGGCATTTATTGCTTATAGCAGCTCTGGGCAGGCAAGAGCTAAAAATCTGGCCAGCGGGGGTTTCGGGCTGCTCGGCATCCGTGGTTAAAAAGCCTTTGTGGCCAGTAGTCGAAGGCTTCCTTCATGTCTCAGTTCCTGACCCCATTTGTCCACTTAGGTCTGGGAATCTTGACTCAGCCACTGAGGAAATTGCCCGAGCCAGAAGTTGGCTGCAAACGTTTAGAATGCTTTTCCAGAGTACTTCCTCTTCAGCATTGGAGTTTAAGGTGTGTAAAAGGGACATCATTAAATAAAGCCTAACACGGTAAGCCCAGGTGCTGTGCTTTCTGCAACCTGTTCCTTCTGCCCTTGAGAAGCCGAAAGCTATGTTGGGGGTCAAAGACCTACTTTTTAGCACACTCCACCTAGGATCGTGTGTGTGTGTGTGTGTGTGTGTGTGTGTTCACCTAGGATCGTTTTGTGGAACTCCATCCACACATAGTTAACGAACCACAACTCCAAGATAACAGTGGCAAATAAGAGGCCTAGGAGACAGAATGGGGACACCTGCAATTCCAAGTGACCTTGGGTTCTTTCAGCTTAACATCCCTAGGATGCAACCAAATTCCTCAAGGCAGTAGGTTCCCTGTGCAGAAGTGGTTAAGATGGAAATTGGTGCCTCCTCCCCAACACTCACACCAGAGTCCCATTCTTGCTGTCATAGCGTGGTGTGGCCTGAGGGAAGTAAAGGGTTGCATATTCTGTAGCGTTTTCTAACTGGAGGTGTTTCACCTCGCTTGCAGAACGCGGCTGGATATGGCTGAACACTTGAATGTCTGCATAATGTAAGTTGCTCTCTTCTGATGTGAGGTTTTGACTCCTCTTCTGGGATACAGGCTGCTGTAACACCTGCTCACCGATGTATCCTGTTAATCTATGGTCCTGCGAAGAATCATAGAATTAAGGAAGATTCTTTACTTCATTTTCTCCCTCACCTCCAATGCTGGGCCAGTTAGAGTGATGCCCCTTTGCTTTGCATTTAGGGTACAGAGGAGGCCAGGCAAAACCAACACATTCTACAGATGACTGAGCAGTGTCTGTCTCAGGGTGAAAAATGGGTAACTGGGATCTCTTGTCTGAGTAGTCCCTTAGGGGGGATGACAAGCCTGCCATTACCTTTGTGCTATTCTGCCGTAGCTTTTGCTGCTGTCTCTTCAGTGTGCATCTTGCTTGGCTCCCTGCAGGGAAGAAATCCAACTTAAATCCACTCTCTCTTCTCTGTGTCTATGAGCCTGCCCTGGTCAAATCTCATTAACCTATTGTGTTGGGCTTGTAACTTATGTCCCTGCCTCCATTCCCACTTCTTTTGCTTCTGCTGTTACTATATCCAAACTTCTTTTCAGGTGTACAGTCCAGGCGTTTCACTATCTGAACATAATGTTATCCATCTTCATTTTTCACCAGCTCCTAAAGATAGTTCCACAAATACATATCGAGAGCCTATTATGTGCCAGGATCTGTGCTGTGTTCTGGGATAGAAGGACTATGAGTAGACTGTTTTCTCTGTCTTAGCTTACAGTCTACTAGGGGATACAATAAGTAAACAGACCATTATCATAACACAATAGTAAGTGCTCAGATACAGAAGTGTGCCACTTTAAGTAAGTCAGTCTCCCTTTGCAGGAGCTGATTCCTCTGTTTAAAACATCCTTCTGGAAGGCCAGGTGTGGTGGTGCACACCTGTAATCCCAGCACTTGGGAGGCTGAGGCAGGAGGATCACTGTGAGTTGGACAGCAGCCTGGGCTACATAAGTGAGTTCCAGGTCAGTCTCAACTACATAGTGAGACCCTGTCTCAAAAACCAAAAAAAAAAAAAAAAAAAAAAAAGAAGAAGAAGAATAGAATAATAATAAAAAATAAAACATCCTTCTGGAAAGGACAAAAGGTGTAGGAGAAGTGGAAAGGGTAGGGGAAAGGAAATAAGGGAAAAGAAAAAATATGAGAAAAGGAAAAAATGGAAACAAACTCTTTGTAAATAGAGGAGGGTGAAGGAGGTGAAGGGAGGGCAGGTGTATAAGGAAAAATGAAAATCAAAATCTGACATGTAAAGGTATAGGATCCCAATGATGAATGTAACTGTACTGTATACTTAAAATGTACCAATAAACTCAATAAAAAGGAAAACAAATTGAGGAAATGAAAGAAAAAATAAAACATCTTTCTGTCCCTCTTCTGCTAACCTGTAAACTTGCTATTATTGCTTTGACATCAGTTCTGTCATTCTCCAGCAGCATGAGTATATATCTCTTATAATACCAGTAGATAATACTTCAATTATTGCTTTAAGTGAATGTTCTGCTCAAACTCGATTTTCAGCTTTTCCAGGGCTGAGATCACCAGTCCTTGCCTTGCAACTCTCTGCCTCCTTGGGACCCCACACAGTAGCTTGATGAATGGAAAAAAGAGTGACCAACCCTGCCACTCTGACATAATGGGAAAGATAGGACCCATGGGTCCTGGGTCGGTTTTGAGCCCAGTAAACCAAAGATTCTCTTTGGTGTGCTATGGCCCTTTATCCATTCCAAGGCCACTCCTCTTTTCTACTTTGTTTGCCCTTTCCAAAGATGTCAGTTCTCTTATCCTCTCTTATTTGCCACTCCTCCCTCATGCTCCCTCCCACTTAAAGTTACCTGTTTTTTTTTTGTTCTGGAAAGTTGATGGGCTGCTCCTGTGATAGGAAAAACAGATCACCCATGTGCAAGAGCTCTGGTCTCTATCTTTCCTCCTCCTTTGTTTTGTGGTCTCAACATCTGGGATGACTTTCTCCCACTTGCCTAAAAATTCACCCTGGGCCAAGTTTAGCCCAAAAGCATTTGTCAAGGGTACCATGCTTCTCCTAGATGAATGGTTCTGGAAAGTAGAGTGGTTCAACTGACATAACCAAACCCAAAATACAATTTTAGGCAACAGTTCCTACATGCCAGGGATGTAGCTGGTTTGAGGACTATTCTGGGATTGTCTGACCAGCTAATCCCAGCAGAGGGTAAGAAAACCTGCCAAATAATAGGACACTCCTGGATCCAGAGACCCTCTTTGTTTGTTTGTTTGTTTGTTTGTTTGTTTTCTTGCCGTACTGGGGATGGAACTCAGGACCTTGCACTTGCAAGGCAGGCACAGTGCCACTGAGGTAAATTCCCAGGCCCAGAGACCCTCTTGTTGCTTCTTTGATTTTTTTTTTTTTTTTTTTTTTTTTTTTTTTTTTTTTTTTTTTTTTGGTGGGGTGGTTTTGCCAACCTGGGATTTTCATTCTGGAAGTCACAGAAGCTGCCACAATGAGGGCCCGCATAACCCTTTAAGTAACCCCTCTCTCTGTGTGTGTTTCCTGTGCTTATTTTTAATTAGCAGAGAAAGTGAGAGATGTTTGACCTTTAATGTCCTTTGGAACACTTTGTCTACAGAATAGGAAACACCAAATTTGGCCAGTGACTCAGCTATCCTGTCCTCAGTGCACAGCAGACCTCTATCATTTCTCAGCCCCTGGGTCCCGAGTGGAGACTGTGTGTCTACGTGATGATGGTCAACAGTTTGATACCCAGAAAAACAATTCCAGTCTGAGGAAGTAGGCTGAAATAGTTTGAGACTTACTTTGGATGCTTTTTCTTGCTAGTACATTTCCAAATCGAACCAGAGCTAACCCTATGTATAGGGATTTCTCCTCTTCTCAGAAAATTCCCTTCTTTTGCTAATTAAGGTGAAAGAAAGGGACAGACTTTTAACTCTTGTTGACTGTATTTCTGAAAGGAAAAAAAAATGAGGATTTCCTCACATATGTTTGAGGTATTTTGGTGTGATTTTTGGTTGCTGTGCAGCCTGCAGAGGTGAAAGCAGTTAGTATCCATCCAAATGCTCCAAGTGGTTCAGCAAAAAAAGAACAACAACAAAAACCAAATAACTCCCATGTCCTTCAGATTGCTCCTCTGCCACTTAAGCTCCTGCTTTGTGTTACAGCTGTCCAGTCACAGTCTCACCTTAGGAGCGAGGGAATCTTCTAATTCCTTACCCCTTGTCACTACTGTTTTCCTGCTTATTTCTTTTCTTTTATTTTTTTGCAGCACCAGGTGTTGAACTCAGGACCTTGCGCTGTGAGTCAGGTGCAGTACCACTGAGCTAAATCCCCGGCCTCTGCTGATTTCTATTCAAATAGCAGAGGAAATATTAATTCTAAAATATGTAACTAGGGCTATCCAATTTTAGTGAACAGAGTCTGTTCCCAAGTTGGATATTGTGCAATGCCTGGACACAACCCAGAGTACTCATAGTGTGACAAAAATTATTTTTAGATCAGAATTAAGGAAATTAAGTGGACACTCCTGCAGTGATAGTAGAATAAAACTTGATCCAGTCCTTCTAAAATGCAATTTGCAATAAGTATAAAAAGCATTGAACATAAATGTATATACTCTGATGTATCAATTTGTATCCTAAGAAAAAAATAATACATGTGCAAATATAGATATTTATTATAGCATTATTTATAATATAAAAAAATAGGAAATAGCCAATATTTGGTAACTGACTGAAATAATGGCATATCCAGTCAGTGGAAAATTATGTAGAACGTAATAAATGATGTTGGAAGAACACATAATAGCATGGAAAATTTTACTCTGCATGAAGTTATAAGATACGTTTTAGGATAAAAATGCGGACATTTAAAAATAATATGACAGGGCTGGGGATTTAGCTCAGTGGTTCCGCTGTCTGCCTCACAAGCGCAAAGACCGGAGTTCGATCCCCAGTATCAAAAATAAATAAATAAATAAATAAATAAATAAATAAATATGACAGGGCCAGGGATGTAGCTCAGTGGCACTGCACCTGCTTCACAAGTGCAAGGTCCTGAGTTCAATCCCTGATACCAGAAAAAAAATTTTTTTTTTAAATAAAATAAAAATAATATGACAATGTACTAAAATGTTTCTGTCCTCTCTGGGTACTTACATTTATGATTGTTTTTTATTTTCTGCTTTTGAGTATTTTCAAATGTTTACTTTTTAACAGGAACAAACAAACAAACAAAGCTGGGTGTGGTGGTGCACACCTGTAATACCAGAACTCTGGAAGTATGAGGCAGGAAGATCCTAAGTTTGAACCTACCCTGAGCAATTTAGCGACTTAGTGAGACCCTTTCTCAAAAATAAAAAAGGGAGGGCCAGGGATTTAGCTCTAGTGTCGCCGCCTGCCTTGCAAGCAGAAGGTCCCGAATTCGATCTTTAGTACCAAAAATAAATAAATAAGGACTAGGATGTAGCTCAGTGTGAAGGCCCTGGGTTTAATGCCTAGTACTAACAAAAAAGAAAGGAAGGAAGCAAAGAAAGAAAAGGAATATGTTATACTAAAAACCTTCAATTGTCATAGTATCTTGTAATCTCTGGTGGCTTACTGAGATAACAAAAAATAGAGAATAATTTTTGGTCCAATCCTAATAAATACTTCAAGAGGAAAAAAATAATATTGATTAGGCTGTCTGGCATAGTATAATGTTTCTAGAATAGGCTCTGAGTCAGTTGACCATGTCAGACTAGCTGTGAGAGTTTCAGCAACTTTGTTTGCTTTTTGTTTTGTTTGTACTAGGGAATGAACCCAGAGCCTTCATACTGAGCTACAACCCTGCTCTTTTTATTTTTATTCTGAGACAGGGTTTCACTAAGTTGCCCAGGTTGTGCTCAAACTTGTGATCTTCCTCCCTCAGCCTCCCAGAGTGCTGAGCTTATAGGTCTGTGCCACCAAACCCATCATTTCAACAAATGAGCCTCCATTTTCTTACCAATAAAATGAAGGCTGGACATGGTGGTGCACACCTGTAATCACAGCATGCTGGAGGCTGAGGCAGGAGGATGGCTGAGAGTACAAGGCCAGCCTGACCTACATAGCAAGACCCCATCTCAAAAAATAAGAATAAATAAAAAATAAATAGATGATAATACTGTCTAAACATTATGGGATTATTGTAAGGATTAAATAAAATAGTAAATGGCTGGGTGTGGTGGCTCACGCCTGTAATCCCAGCACTCTGGAGGCTGAGGCAGGAGGATCATTGTGAGTTCGAGACCAGCCTGGGCTACATAGTGAGTTCCAGGTCAATCTCAACTACATAGTGAGACCCTGTCACAAACAAACAAACAAAAACAAATAAAATAGTAAATGTAAGAAAGCACAGTCCCTTACCTGTATTGAGTATCAGTAAAAGTTGACTACTATGACTAGCAATAATTATCACCATCCAAGAACTAATCAGTAATGAAGAATGCAACACTAGAGAAAAAAGGGAGCAAAAGAAGCTGTTTTATCCCCTTTTCTAGAAGCTTTTCTGTATTTCTAGATGTCCTATACTGGACATCTCAGAGTTTAGTTGTTTTCTTTTTTTTTTTTTTCAGTTTTCACAATATTCTAGGAGATGCATATTTTTGTTCCCATTTTCTAGATGGGTTAACTACAACTGAGCTGTCCTACTCAGAACCAAATTTCCTTTTACTACTGTCTTCTGCATCTGTCACTGTGCCTGGTTCATAAGCCATATTCAATAAATATTTGTTTAATAAATGGATAAATGAATGAGTAGTAGGGAAAGAACTTCAATCCAAAATACCGTCTAGCAAATCCTATGTGCTTTCCAGTATGCCTCACTTATCTCCCTAAATATAACAATACTTAATTTATAAACAAGGCATGCTCAGGATCTGTCCCACACAGGATGAGATAGCTAAAAGGCAAAGGAGACGGGACAAAACTAAGTGGCAATGAAAATTCTGGGAAAGGGCAGTTACAATACCACAAATAATTATAAGATTTATACTATATTCTTTGCTCTTCAAAGCAAACCTGGGATCTAAACAGTAGAGATTGTGTTAATCTATATATTATATATATAGATACAGAGAAGCTAAGCGATTTGCCCGTCACACTGCAAATAGGTGTGAAAGTTATATTTATATACTCCATGGAAATTCTCCTTCCCACTTGTGTTCTTTTTTTTTTTTCCTCCTCTCTGGTACTGGTAATTGAACCCAGGACCTTCACACCTAAAATTTTTTTAAATTTTTATTTTGAGGGCCAAGGATTTAGCTCAGTGGCATCACACCTGCCTTGCAAGTGCAAGGTCCTGAGTTTAATCCCCGGTACCAAAAATAATTAATTAATTACTAAATACACACACACACACACACATATATATATATATATATATAGGTACTGGGGATAGAACTCAGGACCTTGTGCTTGCAAGGTAGGCAGCGGCACTACTGAGCTATATCCTTGGCCCAATACAATTTTTATTTTGACATAGGATCTTGCCCAGTCCCTAAATGGCCTAGGCTGAGCTCAAACTTCAGATCTTTTACGTAGCCTCCCAGGGTTCTGGGATTACAGGCATACACCACCACGACTGGCCTTTCCTTCATCCTTTTAAATAAACTTTTTTGTTTGTTTGTTTTTTGAGACAGGGTTTCACTATATAGTTGAGACTGACCTGGAACTCACTATGTAGCCCACGCTGGTCTTGCACTCGAGTGCTGGGATTACAGGCGTGCACCACCACGCCCCGCCCACAAACATTTTTCTAAAGCTGATGTACTTGATCTGCTTACTTACTGGTGAAAGTATGGGCTGCAAAATCTGGCAGGCCTGGGTTGGAATCTTTCTTTATGTACTTAGTAGCCACGTGACACTGGTGAGTTAATTAACTTCTCTGAGACTCAATTTTTTGGCTGGCTATAAAATGGAAGGAGGGGGAGAATGTGACGGCTCATGCCTTGTGATCCCAGCACTCTGGGAGGCTGAGACAGGAGGATCACAAGTTTGAGCCCAGTGTGGGCAACTTGGTGAGAGCCCATCTTAAAATAAAAAGTAAAAATGGGGTAGGGATAGGTACAATGCCTGGAACCACAAAAATAAATAAGGGCTGGGCCGGAAGGTAGCTCAGTGGCGCCGCACCTGTCTGGCAAGTGCAAGGTCTTGAGTTCCATTCCCAGTACCGAAAAACAAACAAACAAAAATACATATAAAGGAAAAAGTATAAATAAAAGATAAAACCACTTACTCAAAGAAAATATTGGGAAAATTAAATGAGATTGTAATATGCCTAGAACATAGAAAGCTCTCAAATGCTGCAATTATTATTATCTCGGGAAGAAGAAAAAGGAGAGGAGGGAGAAAAGTAAGAGAGCAAAGAGAAACAATGCCAATTCACTATTCCAGCCCTGCCCTGGCAACTCCATAAACAGCTGGTGTCGCTCTTTTCTGTGGTCTCCAGAAAAAGGAGTAAGCACAGGAAGGAGTTGCTACCCTCTGTTGGAACCAGGAGGTGCCAGGCAGAGGAAAGTAGCAGTGGGAGACACTGACTCTAGTTCTCAGGGCTTCATATCCACCAATAGAGCCCGTGCCCTCCGCCCTTCCATCTTACTCACCAATTTCCCCCACAACAGAGCCGGTTTCCCATGGCGCTCTATCTCCCAGGGAGCCCAGCTGTTTTTCGACATAAAGAGGCTTGTGCATTTCCTGCTTCCCGGTTTAGCTTTCCTTTTCAGCTCCCAGGGATCTCCGCCAGTGTCAGATTTCAACCTAACAGGTTGGACTTCGGAAGGCACCTGCTGGAATGATTCCCAGCTGACTGCTCCTAGTCAAATGGAAGAACCACACACAAGGGCTCCAGGTGAAAGAGAGCTATCTCACCTTTGGGATTTGAAGCTTCTTTTGATGCAGCTGTGAACTTTGAGCTTCAAGCCTCAATTTAAAAAGAAACTGGAGACGGAAAGGGGCTCTGGTTTTCCTTAGGAAATGTTTCTCTGCTACGCCACACGGTCTTTGAAATATATCCTCCACAGTGGAATAAAAAAATCTTCCTTTATGTTTGTCCAGCGTTATCCAAGTTTGGGTTTCACTCTCCAGGTATACCAGTATGAGCACTGTCCAGAATCTGGGTTTGAATATGAGTCGCATGGGGTTTCTAGGATTGTAAAGTGAAAGAAATTTATTATCTCACCCCCTTCTGGTATAGAACCAGACGATTCTGTAATTAGAATGGCCTCAGCCTTCTTGACCACTCACTTCCCCAACCTCTGTTCAGTACTACAAAATCTCATCCCTTCACTCATCTTTTTCTTTCAGTGACCCCAAGTTAGACTCATTGCACACTCACCAGCAATTAGCAAGCAGCTGAACAAATTCCCCTGTGGAAAAAATGGGCTCTAGAAGAATCGGGGTAACCCACAACTCTTATTTTTGGGGCTCTCACCTCCTCTTTAATGTCTTTCTCAAATGCCCATATTCCCCAGAGTACCCTGGGCTCTGAACAAATTTCTTAGAAAAAATTGGGGATAAAAAATGACAACCTTGGGCCAGAGATTTAGCTCAGTGACACTGCACCCACCTTGCAAGCACAAGGTCCTGAGTTGGATCCCTGGTACAGGAGGGTGGGGGTTATATTATTGTGAAGATCAAATGAAGTACATGTAGTAAAGCTCTAGTCTAGGACCTAGCATATTAAAATTTCTCAGTAAACCTGAGTTATTTTTGTTATAATTATTACTTTTGTTCTTTGCTAATTATCAGATGATAACTTTATTATCTTCTAACCTGATCATTGTTTGAGCTTCTCTCCTGTAGACCTTTTGGTACTCTGCCATTAGCTGTATTCTTTTCATCTTTTTACCTGCTCCTTCTTCATAAGCTCAAAAGCCATTAATAATTTCCTGTTACCTGCAGGGTAGAGTTTAAACTTCTCATCCTGCCACTCAAAGCCCTCCAGAGGGGCCTGGGATGTAGATCAGTGGTTCTGCTGCCTGCCTTGAAAGTGTTGATCCCTGGCACCAAAAAACAAAAACAAAAACAAAAACAAAAAACAAACAAACAAAAAAAAGCTCCCCAGAAGGGGTCCCTTTCTAGCTACTTCCGTATTTACAGAAAATCACCTAAGAGATTTTTAAATGACAAGAAGCTCCACAGAAACCAATAGTACATTTACAGTAGAAAACCTGATATGCCTTAGGTAGCATTAGTAGGAGTGTAGAGTAGTGAGTAAGGGGACTGATTATTCGGCTGAAATCTGTACTAGCCAATCAGTGCCTAGAATAATAATTTAAGGTCTATATGCTAAATTTCAGGTTACTTTGTCAAATGGCACTGTTCAAAAGAAAGTTGTCTGGGCCAGGGATCACTGCCTGCCTCACAAGTGCAAGGTCCAGAGTTCAATCTCCGGTAGGTACCCCCCAAAAAAGAAAGTTGTCTGGGTAATAAGTGGTTGTGGAAAAATGCTAATAAGTGGCTTAAAGAACTAGGCACAATTTATCTTGGAAAAGGAAGCCTTAGAAGATCAGAAAGGGTATCTTTAAATAATCCGAAGATCTTTTAAGTGGAAGGCGGATTTTATTTGTTTTCTAAACACAAGCAGAACCAAAGTGCTGAAGTTACCAAAATGCAGATTTTGGTTCAATGGAAGGAAGAACGTATATGTTATGTCCAAAAAGAAAAAGGAGTAGGCTACTTTCTGAAGTTCTAAGTTCTGTGATTGGGCCAGTGATTTAGCTCAGTGGCACTGCACCTGCCTTGAAAGTGCAAGGTCCTGAGTTCGATCCATAGTAGCGCAAAATGTATCAAAAGAAGTTGATTAATAACCTTAAAAGAATTTGAATGCAGGCTGGGGGTTTAGCTCAGTGGTGCTGCCGCCTGCCTCACAAGTGCAAGGACCTGAGTTTGATCCCCTGCACCAAAAATTTCTCTTATTTAGGAATCCATTATTTTAGAAAAACTCAGAGGTGGAGGATGTAGCTCAGTGGTAGAGTACGTGTATAGCACGTGCCAAGCCCTGGGTTCAATCTCCAACCCAAAAATAAATAAGAGTGAACAAATAAGGTTTAATTACAAAACAAACTGGTGTGAAGCTGTTCTGGTTGAAGTCTGAGTAAAATTCTTCTTTTATTCTTTTTCTTCTCAACTAGATGTTAAGATTCCTAAGCATACATATGATGACTATAATTTTTGTAATTTATATTTACAATATATAGCCCCATTCCATACTACTTGGGCTTGATAAATATTTACTGAATGAATGGACAGTTGAACATAATCGATGTTATTTCTCTGAGTTGTGCTTTTATTTTTAATAGGTATTAATTCTTTAACCAATAATTAAATTTCTTAAGGGAAGAATCTTAACCTTGCGGGTCCACAAATCCCTAAGAGGGGCATGAATGGATTTTAAAAATTGTGTGAGACTATTTAAATAGTATTTTAAAAATTGGAAGTATGTGTATTTTTCTGGTAAGGTGATCTATAGCTTTTGCTAGGGACAGACACCCAGGCTTTCCTTTTTTTTTTTTCTTTTCAGGCAGGGTCTCCCTTTGTGGTCCAGGCTGTCCTGGAACTTGTGGTGATCCTCCTGCCTAAGCCTTCCAAGTGCTGGGATTACTGATGTGTGCCACCATGCCCGGCCATACCCAGGCTTTCCTAAGCATACGATATCCTTAGAATTAAGACTACTTCAAAGGGCCTGGGATTTAGATGTAGCTCAGTGGTTCCCACACCTGCCTTGCAAAGCACAGGGTCCAGAGTTCCGGTATCAAAAAAAGACTACTTCAAGGGAGGATTGTTTTGCAACTACTACCATAATAAGAACACTGGATCCCTGCATTTAGTCTTGAATCAGATAGGGTAGTAAAATGATTCCTCTCTTTGAGATGTTCCAAAATCAGAGACAAATGCATTCTCAAGTGGGTTACACCTATGCAGAGGATAAAGAAGCTATGGAGTTCAGAGATAATGATGGAGGCTTAACTATTTATGCCTCCATATATGCACACTCAATCCCTTGAATTAGAGACCATTTTTGTGGGCAGGCCTTAGTATGGGAAAACAAAGCATTCACTCCAGGGCTTTAGGCAACTCTCTCCAGCCAAAAAAAAAAAAAAAAATTTTTTTTTTCCAAACCCTCTCCAAAAAGGGCCAGACAGTCTGGAGACCCTTGTTTTTGTGTCTCTAATCACCAGCTCAGACAGTGCCCTCTGGGCTGTTTGGATGGCATATCCCTTTTCCCTCCCAGGATCATACTCTCTTTTGTTGTATTGTGAGAAAATTATGGCTAGGAATTTGATCTGGAGCCAATGTCAGCTTCCGGGTATGATCTCAGCACCCAAGTGTGAGCTCAGGGTACTGTGACGTTGGGCACACATAACAGGAGCTTTTTGTCTAGCTGGCTATGACCTCCTTCTTCTCACCCATCCCATCTTCTAGGCCACAGAAGAGTGAGCAGCACAAACAAGGCCCTGAGATTTGGGTTTATTCAGCTCTGCCCAGAACTAAACCAAAGGCTATAACATGTCCCAGGGGACCAAACCATACATTGTGGACCTGGAGCATTTCCCATCCCCCAAGGATGCTGCCACCTCTGGGGTGGTGAGCAACTGCTCGAATCACCAAGGGAGGCTGAAAGGGATTTGCTGGGTGCTGGTTCTTTGGCAGTCAAGGTTCAACTCTGGCTGCCTCTTCCTCCTCCTCTTCCTCTGGGTCAGGAGGCGCAGGGAGCAGGGAGATGTAGACCTCATTGACTTCTGTGTCCAAATGTCGGCCACCCCGAGGGGCCTCCAGGTTCAGAATGCCATCATGGGAAAGGGCCGCTCGAACCCTCCAGGGATCGACATCAGCAGGCAGGACATAGGTGCGGCAGAACTCTCGGGACACGAAGCCATGGCGGTCGAGGCGCTGGGGATGCCGAGCAGACACCTCCAGCAGGTTGTCCACAGTCCTCACAGTCACCTCATCCGGGGTAAAGTGGCTCACATCCAGAAATGCCTGGAACTTGCCCTCACTGAGCCTAAGCTCCGATGCCCCTGCCCTGCTGCCTTCCCCAGCTTGGGCAGCCCGAGGCCGGACATAGTAGCCATGGTAGAGGGTGGGGGTCAGAATCTCTTCTGGCAGGAGGCCTGAGGGGCAGAGAGAGAGAAGGCAAGATGCAGGATGAGAGAGGATGAGGTAGACACAGGGATGGGATGAGATCAGGAGTTGCAGGAGGGGGAAGAGCAGGAGGGGAGTCCGAAGTAGGGAAGCAGCGCCAAGGGAGGCAGCTGGGAAGAGGGGGTTGAGAAAGGAAAGCCATGGCAGTGGAGGAGGCGAGCCAAACTGGGGCTAGGCAGGTGGAAGGGGAACAAGAAGGCACACTAAGGCCGGCAAGGGGCAAGTATCAAAGCACTGCAAGCCCCAAGTGTGTCCTGAGGTCAGGAGGAAGGGGAGACAGCTCTGCTGAAGAGGTGAGGAGAGTGTCGTGTCTGCGGTGGGAGATGGCTCACCCCAGGAGTTCAGTTAAGCCCCTAGTGGGGTGGAGGCCAATAATGTTGGGAAGTCAGCCCAGAATTTCAGGAGGTGGGGGTGGGAGGCACGGGGGTGGCATCCAGCTCATACCTTCTCCGAAGCGCTGCTCACCCAGGCGGCTCGGGTTGGCAAATTCGTACTCAGTGGTGGCCGGGTGGGCATGTGGCACCGAGCGGCCAGACATGGCTGCAGTCACCCTGGTCCGAGGTGCAGCCCCAACAATCGCAGCGCGACCCCTCCAGCTGCCCAGAGAGCTAGGACACACTCAGAGGCGGAGGCGGGGTCGACACCACCCAAAATAGTGCGGGGCCTCTGAGGGGGGAGGGCGGAGGCAGGGGCCCCGAGTGCGGTGACAAGGGTGTGACCAGTTCTTCCCAGACCCCCTCTCCCCTCCCCTCACAGGCTTCAGCTGTCGCAGACAGGCTGAGAGGACTGACAGCTGGGGGTCCTGGCCCTGCAGCGAGCTGGGGTGGAAGCTGCTGCTGCGGCAGAGGCAAAGAGGCCTAGCTGAGACCCTTCTCACAATGTGCACATTTCCATACCACTCTTCCTTCTCAGTTTTAGGCACTGATCATCCTACTTCATAAAACACTCTGGATTTAGTGTTATGCTGGTCACATAGTGTAAAAGATACAAGAAAAATTTCTGCCCCTTTTGGGGTTAGTCTCTCTGGTCAGGTTAATTTCAAAGTCTTCTCTGGAACCTAGGTCAACCGAGGGCACCACTCAGATGCCTTGTATTGAGATGTTAGCTGTCACTGCACTCCTCCTGGGACCCACAAAGAGTTAATATCCCCAGGGCCCAGCCTAGGAAGGTTCCAGTCCCTGCCTAGGCCCAAGATAGTTGCTGGCCCAATTCCCCTGGCATTCAAGACTGGGGAGGAGGAGGAAAAGGAGGAGGGGCACATCACTGCCTGCTTGGGATTCCTGACTCTGTCCCAGCCCTAGAGAACTGGGGTGGGGGAGGTTACCACTGGGTGTGGGATGGAAAGCTAGTGAAACAAGATCGTGACAAGTCATTGGCCAGCTGAGGCGTGTTTGTGTTTCTCTTTTCTTAGCTCAGTGAGTACTGGGTATGTGTCACACTGCCAAATCCCCAATCACAAGTCTCCATGAACCAGCCATGAGCGAGTATAATAAAACCCCTGACATCACCATTCCAGAAGCTTCACAAGACTGCATATATAAGGGCCTGGCTGTAGCTGCAGCTGAAGGAGCTGACAAGCCAGCTGACCTCTTGCATTCACCTCGCTACCATGGACATCGCTATCCACCACCCCTGGATCCGACGCCCCATCTTTCCTTTCCACTCCCCCAGCCGTCTCTTTGACCAGTTCTTCGGAGAGCACCTGTTGGAGTCTGACCTTTTTCCGCCATCCACTTCCCTGAGCCCCTTCTACCTTCGGACACCCTCTTTCCTGCGGCTACCCAGCTGGGTTGACACTGGACTCTCAGAGGTGAGTACCCCTCTGCCAGGACAGGAGCATCCTTCCTGGAACATCCTGGACACTTCTCCACCTGTTTTCCTTTATTTTCTTCCCTGCCCAAGCCATTTTAGGTGCATACCTATCCATAAGGTTACTAGTACCTCTCTCCCCTAGAAACTTTGTATTTGATACTCCTCTATATCCTATTAATTTTTTTTTCATGCACAATGAAGATCATCCTCTGTCTTCTAACCTTTAAGCAGGTTGCCCTTTTTAGTTTGGTTCATAATGATCTGCGGGAAAAGAGCACATGTTCAAACTTACTTATATTACCTCTTCTAATATACTTCATACTCGTACATGAGGTATTTTATCATTGTAAGTTTCAGAGCTGAGAGGGGCTGGGGAGACATAGCTCATCCTGAGCTCTCATCCCCACTGGGTGGAGCTGGAGACAACAACCACTATTTTCCTTCATTCTGTTCCTTCTTTATGATTTTTCTGGATTCATCAGGGCTGTAACTGAGCACTGGCCTCCATCTAACCCTTATAAAGTAAAGAATGTGAGTCCAGTCTTAAGAGCACCCTACCTTGCCCTAAAGAGGTGGGAGGAGGTGAACAGATGACACTGACAAAAGCTATCACAGATAACACTGGTTTAAAAATATTTATGTGTGAGTAAACAGGAGCTGAATGGACAAGGGCTTTGGAAGGACAAGCAGGACCAGGAGAACATTCCAGATTGAAAGGGTGGGAATCTTGGCAGAGAAATGAGCAAGTAGAAGGGGCCTTTGTCTTACAAACAAATGACAAAAGCTGGGCATTGGGGTTAGAGAGAGACCACAGAAGCCATGCTCAGATCCATCTGGTCCCCTGGGGCAGTGGTGGTGGTCTGTCTTCCCAGTGCTTCTACATAAGTTTGGATGTGATAACCAAGAAGGTTACCTTGGATACCATTGTGGTGACAAACCTGAACCAAGAGCCATGTTAATTAGAAAAGAGACTTTTAGCAGACAGAGAAAAAATAGTTACCTGGACAGGAAGCAATTCTGCAGAATGAAGAGCATTCATCAGTGCAATCACATTTTTTCTCCTCCTTCCCTCACCTCGCTATTTCTAGATGCGCGTGGAAAAGGACAGGTTCTCTGTCAACCTGGATGTGAAGCATTTCTCCCCAGAAGAACTCAAGGTGAAGGTGCTGGGCGATGTGATTGAAGTGCATGGCAAACATGAGGAGCGCCAGGTACATAGCTTCTTTTCTGCTCATTTATTTACTCCGTGTTTTAGGTACTGCCACCAAACTTGGAGCCACGCAACATTCTAGTCTCAAAACATACACAGGGCTGCATCATTCCAAATTAATGACTGGAAAATTAAATGAGGGATGAATCTGTTGTCCTTACTGTTGCTGTTTTTGTTCAGAAAAGTGGCCATAGTTTTTTGTTTTGATTACATTGGATGGGATGGATGAGGTTTTCATTCTTCATTTAAGCAGCAGTTTTCAAGCTTGGCTTCACTGGACTCATGAGAATTGTCAAAAATCTGAATGCTCAGCATACTGCAGACTAACAATCAGAATTTTTAGGAATATAACTTAAAGACATCAGCATTTTAAAAAGTTAGGATGAGGGCTGGGGATTCTGCCTCGTAAGCACAAGAACCCGAGTTCGATCCCCGGTACCCCCCAAAAAAGTTAGTATGATGTAACCCAGCTTCTGGCCCGGCTAGGTTCAGAAAAATTGTAACAAAAAGTTAGGATGAGGCAGAAGGATTGCCACAAGTTCAAGGCCAGCCTGAACTACATAGTAAGTTCAAGACCAGCCTGAGCTACACAATAAGACCCTATCTCAAAATAAAACAAAAATAAATATTTTTTTAAAAATTAAAATATTGGGCCGGGGATTTAGCTCAGTGGTGCTACCACCTGCCCTGAAAGTGCAAGGTCCCAAGTTCAATCCCTGGTAACAACAACAACAACAAAATCAAAATATTTTTTAAAAGCTTCCTTGCTGGGCATGGTGGCACTTCAGTTTGTAACTTTTCTTTTAGATGTTCAGGAATCAATCCACTTTTCTTGTTTGACCCATCATAATGGAAACCTACTTGTTTTGTTGACATTTCAGAGCTGTACTCAGCTCCTGTTCCCTTATATCCCATAAGGAAATCAGTTCATTGAGGTTTTAGTTGGATAGATGCTTGGGATTCAGCAGGTATAAGAGTTGTGTTCAAAACTCTTTGGGGAATTCTGATAAATAGAATAGTTTCTTGCGACTTTCTGAAAAGTATTTTAAAATTGCTTCTCAGTTTATCATTCAGAACCTGTATATAACTAGTACAACTTAACGTCCTCAGGCAGAATCAGTTTTGTTCATATGATTTAAGACTGGATAACAGTCCCTGAATGACTGACATTCTTTTTTTTAATGGTTCATTGCTAAACCCTCTTAGTCTGGAAGAGTCTGAGAAATTCCTAAAGAATCAGGACAATTTCTAGGCTTCCTCAGGGGTTCAGATCATAAGTGCCAGGATGAGATTCCAAATCCTATATATTCAGCCCATATTCATCTAAAGCAAACCTTTCAGAGATACCCCTAACCATAACTATGCCTCAGAGATTGAAGAACTTTAAAGTTTTGGGTTGTTTCAGATTTCTTTGGCTCTATTAGGAGAGAACCACTTAAGCAACTTTATTCTAGCTTTAAACTGGAAATGCAAAATTAGTTGTTATGTCCTCATGGCATTTGGTCTCACCTTCTTTTTAGGTGAATGCCTGAGTTCTAGGCACATGGTTATTTACCTGCTTCTTTCTTTATTCTCTTGGATTAGGATGAACATGGTTTTATCTCCAGGGAGTTCCACAGGAAATACCGGATCCCAGCGGATGTGGACCCTCTCACCATGACTTCATCCCTGTCCTCTGATGGGGTCCTGACTGTGAATGGACCAAGGAAACAGGTCTCTGGCCCTGAGCGCACCATTCCCATCATTCGTGAAAACAAGCCTGCTGTCACCGCAGCCCCCAAGAAGTAGACGCCCTTTCTCTAATGGCATTTTTTAAAACGAAGTTTCCCTACCAGTGAATGAAAATCTTGTGACTAGTGCTGAAGTTTTAATGCTAAGTAATGGCATTTTTTAAAACGAAGTTTCCCTACCAGTGAATGAAAATCTTGTGACTAGTGCTGAAGTTTATTAATGCTAAGGGCAGGCCCAAATTATTAAGCTAATAAATATTATTCAGCAACAGATAACTGTTTTTGTGTTTGAATATTTTAAACAAGTATACACATTCAGCAGATCCATTTAATCACCACACTGTAATTCAGGGGGACTCCAGGATTTTAGAGTCAATATGACTGGCTCCACTACTTATACTAATGGTATAAATGTAGCCAAGTTGCTTAATTTTTCTGGTCTTTAGGCCTTCTATTTATAACATGAAGTACTGATTTGTATAGAATTATAAGGAGTATATTAAGGATAAAAGGTAAGTGAAGAGAAGCCCTGGTAGAAGTCAAAGAGTCACTCTCTCTTTTCTCTGATTTTAGCTCTTTTTTTTTTTTTTCTTGGTACTAGGGATTGAATTTGGGACCTTGCAAGGCAGGCTGACAAACCACTGAGCTAAATCCTTGGCCCACTTAGTTTCAATAAATAGAACAAATCTAAATTAACTCATGGTACCACCATATAAAATTCATTAGTATGTTTTTGAAATTACATCACCAAGGAAGACATAATAATGACCCCAGTGTTATTTAACATTTTTCTAATGACAAGCCTGTTATTTAGCTGAATCATAATAATAGGATTTGAGTGATTGTCACCAAACAAGGTATAGTGCAAATAATGCAGCAAACACCTATTAAGATTTTTAAATTCCCGGGCAGGGCACTTGCCAGGCAGGCGTGGCACTACTGAGCCACATCCCCGACCCTTTCTTTCCTTTTTATTGACAAATAATATTTCACTGCACAGGTATGCCATATTTATTTATCTGTTCATAAGTTGATGGACATTTGGGCTGTCTTTACCTTTGGCTATTATGAATACTGGGTTTTTTTTTTTTTTTTTTGGTACCAGGGATAGAACTCACTTGCAAAGCAGGTGGTGGAACCACTGAGCTAAATCCCTAGCCCATGAATATTGTTGCTATGAAAATACCTTGACTATTTTCTTTTCTTTCTTTCTTTTTTTTTTTTTTCCGGTACCAGGGATCAAACTCATGACCTTGCACTTGTGAGGCAGGTGCGGTGACACTGAGCTAAATCCCCAGCCCTTTAATATTTTTAAAAAACACTCTTGTTCACAATTCTTTGGGAGTATATACCTAGGAGAGAAATTGCTAGGTCATAAGTAATTACATGTGAAGTTTTCTGAGGACCTGCTGTTTTTCACAGCAACTCCATTACTTCACATTCCCATAGTAGTGCATGAGGGAACCAGTTGCTCCATTTCTACACAAATATTTTTGGTTTTCTTTTTTATTATAGCCAGCCATCTGATTGGGTATTTGTCTGAATCTTTCCTTCTTATTTTCCTTTCCCTGGTGACTGAACCCAGGGCCTCCTGCACACTAAGCATGTGCCCTACCACTGAGCTACACCCTAGACCCTCTGACTAAAACAGCCCCCACCCCCTAGCCCCATTCCCACCCCCACTTCTTAGGGGTCAAACTTAGGACCTTACTCTTGCCAGGCAGGCAGGGTGCCACCAAGCTAAATCCCTGCCCTTTCTGACTGAATTCTTAACAATATTAGAACTTCATAAGATACAGAGGGAAGAGAGAAATCTTTAGCAAGGGAGAACATCATGAAGTGCCCAGGTATGTAGGTTTAGAAAATGAGGCAAGAGAGAAAAGGACTCTGCTAAGGAGTTTGGAATTTATTTTGAAGGCCATAGAAGCAAATAAAGGAATTTAACCAAGTAAGTGGCAGGATCAAGTAAGCATTTTAATTAATTAATTAATTAAAATTTTCAAGTTAGCCTTTTAAAAGTCATACTAGGAGTAATACAATGTTGATCAGTAGGAAGCAAAATGGAAAATAGAGACATGGATCAAACAGAGAAAGATGAGCTTATAAAAGAGACTTAGAAGTAATCAGAGATGGAAGAAAAATGTGTTTGACACAGTATCATAGAAGCCAAGGTGTAGGGAAACAGGCAAAGGGGACCTTACTAGAACCTCTGAAGTAAATCCAAGTCTCCTGTGAACAACGATAGCACAGAGTGAATTAGTTAGACACAAAAGATAGAGAAAACAAGACTTACAGAAGTTGAGCTTTAGTTCTGATCAATGGTGCTCTGGGCAGCAAAGACCAAAAATTTGACCTTGCCACACCTTTATTCAGTACATCTGGAGAAATAAAAGTAACAGATGACTCAGGGCAAAAGAGTATAATACACAGTGAGAGCAGCAAATATAAAAAGTGACTCAAGGGGCAGTGGCAGTGAAAATTCTAGAACAGTGAGGAACTATTCAGATGAAAATTTTGTTTCTCCTAGGATGCCTTCAGCTGATGTAATCTTGCCCTGGAATATCACAGCATCTCTGGACCATTGAGGTCTTAGCTGTGACCAGAGGCCAAAATGGAGTTATGTCTCATGTGCCATAGTTGGACTGTAGGCAGGAAAACTAGGCCCCAGTCATGATTTAATTGTGAAATATTTTCCCCCCAAATCATGTAGAATTGCTCCCGACACCAAGGAAATGCAGCTGAAGAAGGAAAAGATAGATGGTCAAGTGGGTTATCAAATGCAGAACACAAAAGTTAAATAGCACATGACCTGAAGTGTTCATAGATCTGGCAAAGCTTCACTTTCATAGATAGTTTCTGGAAAAGTGATGGATCAAAGAGTAATGTGAGGGGCGGATTTAGCTCAGTGGTTCCATCACCTGCCTCGAAAGAGCAAGGATCCAAGTTCAATCCCTGGTACCAAAAAAAATAAAAAATAAAAAATAAAAATAAAAAGAGTAATGGGGAACAGATTTCTTGACGATGTAGAATAGCATGTTCATATTTAATATACTGCCCTTATTCTAAACAAAAGCAGAGGTAGAAATTTTTAAGCAGAAAAGATAAATAATATAGACAAAATAACTGGCAAAATATTTAAATAAATGAAATTCAGGAGAATGGGCATATTGGACTCTTAACCCTAGAAACAGGCAGTGGCAGCAGATGAATTTAACTCCTACAGAGTCAAGGGACTAAAAATGCCCAATCCAAGATGGAAGAAGGAATTGACTCCTTTTAAACCAGTTGCTGTTGTAGGGTTTTCCCACATCTGAAAGAAAGACAGAAAAATCCTATGTATCTGCTTTCTGTGGTGAAAGTTGAATGGAAACTCTAGGTTTAGTGAAGGAGGAAGACCAGGACATAGCCTCACAATTGGGAATCAATACATGCTGTTCTGTTAACTCAGTGTTAGTATCATACATAGGTAAGTTAATTAGATATCTTGTAGGCAGCTAGGGCCTGCCAACAAGGAGCCAACATGGAGGAAAATCCAGACATATTCACTGAAAGCCAGCATTGTAAAAGAAGAAAAACCACTACACCCGCATAACATTATAGCAGTGATTGATATTCTAAATAGGTATCAGTCACCTGGGTGGGGAAAACAAGATCTTCCAAGAAAGATCCCTGACCTACTCCTACCACTGAAAATCCTTACTCATTCCTTGTATGCTTGCTATGTGACTTGTTTCCCTATTTGATGTCCATTTAACCAATTTTACCTGTGACTATACTTGTCATAATCTTATTGGTAGTTCATAGTTTTGTCCATCTTGTGATTTCTCATTGCATCAGTATTACCTAAGCAACTATACTTGCAATCTTACTACTTGACTAATAGTTTTGCCCCACTTTGAACCTGCCTCACCTGAAGGCTTTATCCCATAAAATATCTTTGAGAAGTTAGGTGAGCAGGGCCACCCACTTTCTGGTCCCCCTTCTGTCCCTCTCAGACAGAAGCTATTTTTCCCTCAATAAACTTTCCTACTCTTAATCTCCATTGTTCCTAGAATTCATTCTTTAGTTTGAGAACACAAACTCTCATTTTGGATATCTAGTAGGTTTGGGAGTTTTATCTATTCCCCCTACATCATTAGCACATAGTATGACAGTAGGACAGTACATATTGCCAAATTGGAAAGTCTCTTAATGTAATTTACTATATCAATAGAATACAAGAAAATAAATCTTATGGCTTTCCAACTGTTCAGCACCCCTATTTATAGGGGGAAACCCCTGCTAAGTAAACTAGGAATAAAAGGAATTTCTTAGGAAGGCAAAATGGCATACTCTTATATTTCCAGCTACTCAGGAGGCTGAGGCTGAGGTCAGGTGCATGAGTTCAAGGTCTGCCTGGGCTTCACAGTAAGAAGCTATCCAAAAAGAAAACAGTAATTTCCTTAAATTGGTGACTATAATGTAACAAACACCTAGCAAAAATAGTTTCCAAAGAAATTGAAATACATTGCTTTTAATGTTTTGAGCAAGACAAGGATGCCTATTATCACCCTAATGTTGAATATAGCACTAAAGGTTCAGATCAATGCCAACAGAAGAAAACTAAAGAAATAGTATAAGAAATGGAAGTGCAGAGATGAAAGTATCAAACTGTGATTATCTGTAAATGATAAGCATTTGCCCAAACAACCCCCCACAAAATCAACATACTACTGGAATTAACCGGAGGGCTGAAGATGTTTGCTTAGCATATGCAAGGCCCTAGGTTGTAATTCCCAGAGCCATAAAAAAAAAAAAAGAAAGAAAAGAAAAAAAGAAGTAACAAGACCGCCTGCCTTGCAAGTGCGCAAGTTTCTGAGTTTGATCCCTGGTACCCCCACCCCACCCCAAAAAGGAGAAACAAGGGAGTTCAGAGTTTGCATGATAAAATTTCAGGGTATAGAATTTTTTTGTGGTTATCTCTTCCAACATATTAAACTGCCTGAAAACTTAGCAACTTAAAATAACATTCTATTAGGGGCCGGGAATTTAGCTCAGGGGTGCTGCCCAGCAAACACAAGGTCCTGAGTTCTAGAATTAGAATTCTAATTCTATTAGAATTTACTACTTTGTAGTTCAGGGCCTAAAAGGTCAATTCTTCTATGCCTCAGGGGATTGACAGGGGTTGCTGGTTGCTATTCAACTGATAGATGTCCTAATCTATAGGTTTCCAACCTCATTCCTGATGTAGTTGGGAATGCATGCCAGCAAATTAAAAATACAGAAAAAACTGAAAATATGGATGAAATTGAAAATATAGATAAAATTCCTAGAAACACATCATTTACCGAAACTGAATCATATCATTATATGTGCTGCCGAAGCGAGCACCAAAACCGAATCATAAATGTAACATCTGAATAGACCTATCATTAGAATAAGAGACTGAATAAGTAACCAAAATATTGCAACAAAGGAAAGCCATGGACTTGATGACTTCACATGTTAGCTACCAAACATTAATGCTAATCCTTATCAAACTTTTCCAAAAACTGCAAGCACATTTCCTAACTCATACTATGAGGCTAGCATGTAACAAAGCCACAGAAAGTAGAGTAAAGAAGTAAAGAAAACTATAGATCCATATCCCTATTAAGAAAAGAATTCCAGGGTGAGGGATGTAGTTCAGTGATAGAGTGTTTGCCTAATTTGTTTTAGGTTTGATCCCCAGCACTTCTACACAGGGAGTGAGAGGGGAGGAAGGACAGAGAAGAGGAGAGAGGGGAAAGGGGAGACAGGAGAGAGGGAGAGAAATTTTTTTATTTATAATAGCATCAAAAGCAATACAATAAATAAAATACTAAGGATTTATTTATTTTTATTATTATTTTTTGTACCGGGAATGGAACTCAGGTACTTGCTCTTGTGAGGTCGGTGGTGGCACCACTGAGCTAAATCCCCAGCCCCTACATAAAGTACTTAGGAATAAATGTAATCAGTGAGGCAAAAGACTTGCACATTGAAAACTATAAAACACTGCTGAAAGGAAAAAGACATAAGTAAATGGAAAGACAATGTTCACAGGTTAGAAGATAATATTGCTAAGTACCAGTACTATAGTGATCTGCCATAGTGATCTACTGATGCAATGCAACTTGTATCAAAATTTCAATGTTTTTTGCAGAAATTTAAAAACTCCTAAAATTCATTTGAATCTCAAGAGATCCCAAAGAGTCGAAACAATATTGAAAAAGAACAAAGATGGAAGACAGATTTTTCTGATTTCAAAATTTAAAACTAGGCCTGGGGATTTAGGTCAGTGGTTCTGCTACCTGCCTTTCAAGCACAAGGTCCTGAGTTTGATCCCCGGTACTGGAAAACAAACAAACAAACAAACAAACAACTACTACCTAATTAAAACTTAAAACTACAGTAATCAAAATGTATTGGCATGAATACAGACATGTAGCTCAATGGATTGGAATAGCAAGCACAGAAATAACCCTTAGCATAAACAAATAAATAATTTCCAACAAGGTACCAAGACCATTCAGTAGGGGAAATAGTCTTTTCAATAAAAAATGTTGGTGAAACTGGATATTCATATGAAAAAGAAACTCGAGGGCCAGGGATTTAGCCTAGTGGCACTGAACCTTCCTTGCAAGCACAGGTCCTGAGTTTGATTCACAGTACCAGAAAAAAATAAGTTAAACAAACAGCTTATAAACACATGAAAAGATGTTCAAGATCACTCATTAGCCATTAGAAAAATGCAAATGAAAATCATTTTACACTTGGGCCAGGGATTTGGCTCAGTGGTTCTGCTGCCTGCTTCACAAGCACAAGAACCTGAATTCAATCCCCGGTTCCAAAAAACAACAACAAAAACAAAAAGACCAACAAATAAACCATTTTACACTTCTTAAGATGACTGTTAGGGCCAGGAATTTAGCTCAGTGGCTAGGTGCCTGCCTCACAAGTGCAAGGTCCTGAGTTTAATCCCTGGTACCATGAAAAAAAAAAAAAAAAGAAAGAAAGAAAAGAAAAGGAAAGGAAAGAAAGATGACTGTTATAGTCCAAAAGCAAAACCAAAAATAGGATATAATAAATGTTGATGGGGTTGTAGAGAAATTGGAGCTGGTAGGAATATAAAATGGATTACAAGATATGGAAAAATTCCGTGTTTCTACAATAAAAAATAGAATTGTTATATGGTCAAACAATTCTACTTCTGAATATATGCTTCAAAGAATTTAAAGCAGAGACTCAAACAGATATTCATATGTAAAAGTTCACAACAGTTTTATTCACAAAAGCCAAAAGTTGAAGCCCAAGTGTGCATCATCAGATTGGAAAATTTTAAGCATATACTGTATATGAGATGCAATACTATTCAGTCTAAAAAAATGGATACATATGTGTATTCTTGCTATATGAATAATAGTTTTACAGGTATACATTAAATTTATATGTATCTCATTCTATTCCCTATATATCCAAAACACTTTGAGATGAAATATATAGCAACATAAAATTTAGCATGTCAACTATTTAAGCTATTTGATTTAGTGACATAACTATATTCATAACATTATGCAACTGTCACCAATATCCAGTTCCAGAACTTGTTCATCATTCCAAACTAAAATTTGGTTGGGGGGGTTGGTACCAGAGATCGAACTCAGAACCTTGCACTTGCAAGGCAGGCAGCAGCACCACTGAGCTAAATCCCTGGCCCACCAAACTAAAATTCTGTACTTCTTAAACAATTACTTCTCATACCTTCTCCCAAGTGGTGCAATTACAGATGTGCATCACCACTTCCAGCTTCAGCGTAGTTATAGATTTGACAGAAATTATTTGTTTGTTTGTTTGTTTTTGGTACAGGGGATCAACTCAGGACCTTGCACTTGTGAGGCAGGTGGTGGCACCACTGAGCTAAATCCCCAGCCCCAGAATAGTTATTTTTTTTTCTTTTTAGTTATTTTTATTATCTCTACAACAACTCTAATGTTGAACTACACATAGACATAATTAACCCAAATCGGCATTTAAATCCTGGTTAAAACAAGCCCCTCCCCCCAAGAAAGATTTTGTTTTTATGCCTCGTGCATTATTTATTCAGAAGGTGAAAGTGTGTTTCAGAGAGCTAAATTTTTAGCTGTGCTTAGAATGCGCTCTCTCTTACATTCTACTCTGGAAAGCGAAGCTTCTTATTGTTTCTTAGAATCCTGGATCCTAAGATTGATCAGTTCTAGCAACCCATACACAGCCAAAGTGATGCCTAATTTGAGGCTTTGAATAGCTATTCATATAAGTTGATTTTTCTGTGCATTTGTATCGAGGAGGATCCAGTTCAGGTTGATGTCCTGGGAACCAATGAGGCTCTCGCTTAAATCCTGAGGGAAGGAAAGACAAATAGAAACAGTCAACAAGTGTTAGTAACTGACTTTGCTTTTATTTGAGGGGACAGTGAGGCCCATCAAAATTGAGAAGAGAAAAACTGTTCATTTAATCACTTATTAGTTCATTCAGTTTACTTTCTTGAGTAGGGCCTTGCTACATATTCCAGGCTGGCCTAGAACTCACTATGTAGCCCAGGCTGACCTTGACTTTGTGGCAATCCTCCGGCCTCAGCCTCCTGAGTGCTGGGATTACAGGCATGTGTAATTATACCTGGATCATTCAATCTACTTTTATTTGAGTTCCTTTAATCTGCCAAATACTGAGTTACATTCTGAGAATGTAACAATTAAAAAGACTAGTTCACCTACTATGGGTTGAAAGTGGCATTTTGCTGTTGTAGCTTGTATCATATGTTGTTTCAAAATAGTGTTGAAACTGGAAAGAAAAATTAATAGATTAAGAATCTAAAAAAAGAATCTAGAGTATACATCTACTATCAGGAAATACAAGATATATTATAGGAAATCTAATGGGCCCTGTCATGTTTCAAATAGACTAGATCTCTCTCTCTCTCTCTCTCTCTCTCTCTCTCTCTCTCTCTCTCTCTCTCTCCTGGCTTAGGTGAGTTTTAAAGGCAAGACTCAGGTTCATGTCAAGTCTAGGTAGGCAAGGACCAAAGGAAAAGCTAGATTAAGTCAGAAGACATTATATCTCCCTGTAGATTAACAAATTAAGTCCAAACAGAATCAAGAAAAACAGTACTTACCTATACTTTTTATTTTTTGGTACCAGGGATCAAACTCAGGACCTTAGGGATCATCTCAGGTAACCTGCTTCTGGCCCCTTTACCTATCCTTTTTTTTTTTGTACTAGGGATCGAACTCAGATCCTTGCGCTTGCGAGACAGGCAGTGGAACCACTGAGCTAAATCCCCAGCCCTACCTATCCTTTTGTTACCTTATTTAATAATCAAGTTGATAATAAAGTGGGATAGATGGTCCAGTTGAAGAATGTTCCCCTCCCCTAGTCACATTACTGAACAGAAGACTAAGAAGTTTTTAGATTCCTGCACTGGCATTTCTTCTAACAGGAGGAAACAAAAGAAGAAAAAGTCAGACTACCTGGGAAGGCAAGGATTTGGGCTGCACAATATTCCTTAGATCATATCTTTCCTGGTTCCAGTTGCCCATCAGAGTTTGGTTAGAATAGGAATTCTCATTAGTGGTACATCTCCATCCATACTGGAAAAACTTGGCGGCATCATTCCAATCTGTCCACACTTCACCATGGCCATCCGCATTAATGAGGCTTCCATAGTGTGGGTTTGTGAGGAAACGTACAAGGCTTTGTTTCTGGAAAAAGACAAGAATAGAGAAGCTTATTGCCCAAACCAAGAGCAGAAAAAGTTCCCCTTTCTACCCTCTGCTTTATATGGCCAGATATAATACAAATACATTCTTACTTATGTTCTATTTTTTTCTCCAAATTTAACTTGTGTGGTTGTGTTTCTTCCTCTCTAGGTCCATGGCCTCATTGACCTATCCTCTCAACCAATAGTAGAGGATGACTACATAAATGCCCTCCCCAACACTGAGGAGCCTTTAGTGCCCTATATGGAGAACTAGCTAAATGTTTAATTAATTTTTAAGTGTAGGAGTTGAAGGACTAAGGGTATTATTATTGTTATTATTTTGGTACTGGGGATCGAACTTGGGACCTTGTACTTGTGAGGCAGGCAGCAGCATCACAGAGCTAAATCCCCAGCCCAACTAAGAGTATTATTACAAAGAGAATAAGAAGAGCTGATTAAGTAGATAATACTATAAATGATCAATAAGTGATAATTTCCCTCCTTGCAGTCCTAGCTCAAATAATACCTTCCCTGAAGTTAACCTCTCTACTTTCATCTGGTGCAGAATTTTATCTTCTCATTTCACCATATTTATATCTTTCTACTGTATATTAGCATACATCATATGTGTCATATCACTTCTACTGAACTCTATGTTCCCTGAGGACATGATGTTTTATTATTGCATGCTGCCTTCTACCTGCCCTCCCAATCAACAGTGCTTTGCTTATACTAGGTAATCAAATATCTGAATTTCATTTTTTGGGTAAGGAATCAAAAGCTCAAGCTTTTTTTTGGGAGGTTCCCAAAATAAATCTCATCTTCTGGCTTAGGAACAAGGTGATACCTCCCCTGAAGAGTAATTTGATGCTGAATAGGCTGACTTGTCTGAAGAGTTCATAAGAAACTGAAAGAAATCCATATGTAGTTGTTCCATGTTTATTGAAGATATCACCAAACATGGTCTTCCCAGGTATCCAAATAAAGAAAATATGTAGATCACTCAGGTCACCAGGGTCAAGTGGTCATGACCTGGGAGCCACAACCCATCTGCCTTTTCACAGGCAGAGGCAAAGCTGATAATGCAGCACTAAAGGATGGCATCTCAGGTAACTGCCCTCCCACCACATGCCTTTGTGAAGACAGATGCATTCACTGATGTCACCAAAAAGCACGATGACTGGAGTAGCTGGTCCCACAAAGTCCAGCAGGCTTTTTGTTCACACTGGAGACCTATGTCCTTAGGGTTGGACTGACATCACCATCCATTCAACTGTCCAAGTTAGAAGCTCGAGGCTTATCTTTGACTCCAAATTCTCTTTCATCTTTCATCCAATCACTTTATATCTTGATTTTTATTTTTTTATGTTTGGTACTGGAGATCGAACTCGGGACCTTGTGCTTGTGTTGCACTTGTGAAGCAGGTGGCTGAACCACTGAGCTAAATCCCCAGCTCCTTACTTTAAAATACTACTCCCCATCTTAAATGCCAAGTTCCAAGTCACATCACTGTCAGTTTTTGTCTGCGTTACTGCAGTTGCCTATTTCCCTTATTAACCTTGTTCCTCTCCAGTCCTCCTCCCATAGGAAAGCAGAATTTTAAAAAATGAAAGTCTTTTATGTCATTATATTAAAATTCAGTGGCTTTGTTTTCAGAATACGGTTAAAGCAGTAAAAATAGCTTAGTATCTTGCTATGACCTGGCCTGTACTTAACTCTTCAATTGCCCACTCTCCTCCCAACTGTGTTTCAGCCAAATTCCACCACTCCACGTTTTTGTTTGGTACTGGGGATTAAACCCAGGACCTTCGCACATCCCAACTCATTTTTAATTTTTTATTTCGAGACAGGATTTTGATAATTTGCCCAAGCTGGGCTTGAATTTGCAATCCTCCTTCCTCAGTTTCCTAGAATGGTGGGATTAGATTTGGACCACCATTCCTAGAAACTACTCTGCTTATCATGCTTTTGGACACATTATTCTTCCCGTCTCTTCATTTCTTTTGAACCTGGTAAGGGATCGTTGCCCCTCCCTCCATTAGCTTTCAAAGCTGCTTCACCTCAGGAAATCTTCACACTTTGCCCCAAACCCCGTACAGTTTCCCTTCTATGTGCTTCGATAGCACCCTCTTTTACTCCACATATAGCTATGTGTCCCACTATATCAGAGTTGCCTCTTTTGCTGGCATTCTCCAACAGATTGAAGACAGGCTACATCTTGTACATCTACATATCTAATTGGCCTCACTGTGGCATAGCAATAAGCATTCGATGATATTTCTCGAATGAGTAAGAAGGTAGGAGGAGATAGAAGCACCTGGAGGAATTCTGAGCAGCAGAGACACTGAGAGGCAGCCATTTCAGACTAGATGAGAGCAGTTTAAAAAATCCTCAGCATCAGGAACATGCAGGACACAACCCAATCTCTTTTTGCCTTCAGCTCTGCCCTGCTCCTCTCGCCCGGAGCTCGCCTCACCCTACTCTGCGGTAGCGACTGCTGCTTGTGACCTCATGCAGGTGTGACGAAGTCGCTAAGTGCCGTCTTTGAACTACAAGGCAGTTTGATCTTTTCGGGTTTAGGAAGGTGAGAGGACAACGGCATTGGGTATCTCGCTTTTTGCACTCATGATTATTGAGAATCCCCGCACAGGTTTGTCAAAAAATTTCAGGACATATAACGTGTCATCAACCATCGACGGGTGAAGAGGCGGGCCGAGATTTGAGACGGAAGTGACGTCAAAATCAGCGCCAAGAAAAAGCGAGCAATTCGATGTATCATTGAAGGCCATGGCCCCTCGACGCCTCCTGTTGGTTGGGGAGGGGAATTTCTCCTTCGCTGCTGCTCTGAGCGAGACCATAGATCCGAGCTCTAGTCTAACCGCCACCTGCCTTCAAAACGCAGCTCACTTGGCCCGGGATCCAGTGGCCCAGGAGAATCTGCGGCGCCTGCGCGAACGAGGTAGGGTGATCGGCCCCTTTCGCGAAGCCCCGCCCAGCCACTAGAGCGTCCAATAAGGAAGAGGTGCGGGGAAGTGGGTGGAGAGTAGGACTGGAAGATTGCTCTGGATTATCACAGGGATAGTCGCGGAAAACGTGCGGTACGGTTCGAGATGGGAGAGTTGTTTTTTTTTTTTTTTCCCCAGATGTTGAGACAGCTTTCTAGCTGTATGTCGCGCTTGTAAACTGTCTTTGGCAGGTACTGAGATACGTTTCGGTGTGGACTGCACCCAACTGGCAAATGCCTTTGAACCACCCAACAGGAAATTCGATCGAATTTATTTTAATTTTCCTCACTGTGGACGCAAAGCTGGAGTAGCTAAGAACAGGGAACTGCTTGCCAAGTTTTTCCAGAGGTGAGGAAAGGAGAGCCCTACGTAAATTACTATTAGGTGTTTGGAGAGACTGAAAAACCCTAACGGAACCCACAATCTAGCTGAAAAGGTTGATTTATAACCATAAATACTAAATAAAATTACAACGTGTGCTCTTGAGAGTATAAAAGGTGGATTATATATTTTTAACAATGCAGAATAATGACATCCAGTATAGTTGGATGGCTAAAAGCATGAAATTAGCGATCAAACTGCCTCGATTAAAATCCTGGCCCATTACTTAATAGAGTTTTAAGCAAGCTTACTGAATCCTTATATTCTTCTCTTTTTCCTTTTTTGGTGCCGGGATTCAAACTCGGGTCCTTGAGCTTGCGAGGCAGGCAGCAGAACCACTGAGCCCTCGGATCTTTTCTTATATATAAACTGGGAATACAAACAGTAACTGTCCCATACAATTATTTTGAATGTAAATAGTGCTTTACACTACTATATCAAAATATGTGATACTTCTGGAAGTCTCCATTAGGTCATAGTTACCAAGCAATCTTCACAAAAACGGGTTTAATCTATATTTAAAATTTGAGTTTTGATAGGCAGAAGGCAATGAAAAATTTTCTAAATGGGGAGAAGCATTCCGTATGATGAATGTGATCATTATGTATACCAAAAGTGTACCAATAAAATCAGTTTTAAAAAAATGAGGCCAGGTATGGTGGCACATGCCTGTAATACCAGCATTCAGGAGGCTGAGGATTGCCATGAGGTCAAGGCTAGCCTGGGATACAGTGAATTCAAGGTCATCCTGAATTACAAAGCAAGACCCTGTCTCAAAAAAAACTCTCCATAAATAAATAAATAAAATGAGGAGAAAGAGCCCAAGCTGGGAATTATGTATAGGAAGTTTGCAGATTGACCTCTATGACATGTAGATGAACAACATTAAAACATTTGCATTAAAGCAGATGCCAAGTATTATTATGGGGCACATGACTGTACTGTACTTTCTTTGCATATTTGAGGCTTAATGCTTGAAAGTATGATTGGATTTAATTTTTTTTTTTTAACTCAAGGCAGGTGTGGCGCTAGTGAGCTAAATCCCTGGCTCAGATTTTAATTATTTCACAACTAAACCATGTGTGTATTGCTACCTTCTGTGGTAATTTCTATTTGTTTCTGATAAACCCTTGGTATTTTTTTTATCCCATTAGCTGTGCAGATGTTCTTGCAGGGGAAGGAGAAGTTCATGTGGCACTGTGTAGAGGACAAGGTGGTACTCCTGCAGATAAACCCCAGAGAGAATGGCACAACAGTTGGCAAGTGGTTGCCATGGCAGCTCTGGGGGGTTTCATCTTAAGTGATGTGATTCCTTTCAGCTGTGAAGCTGTGCCAGGCTACAAGTGCACTGGATATAGGTAACATAGGCCTAAGCCTTCTCCTTTTTCATCTCTTTCACCAATGATTATACTTTTTTTTTTTTGGTACCGGGGATTGAACTCGAGTCCTTGCACTTGTGAAGTAGGCGGCAGAACCGCTGAGCTAAATCCCCAGCCCCAAACAGAAAGAGGCCAGATTGCTGCTAGGTTTTGCAGTAGTTTGCTGGGAGTTTTGTAGTACTGGGGCTTGAACCCAGGGCCGCCCGCATATGAGGCAGCTGCTCTACCACTGAGCTACTCTCCAGCCCCTCTCTCACCAATGAGAAACATTATGGTGGGCAAACTTTTTTCCTGTCAATTTCCTAATTAAATTTCTAGAAACACCTGCTTTCTTTAGTAATGATAGGCTGTATACTGTACTGTTGTCTTTTTTTGCCAGAAGTCAAGATAAATCCTTTCATGTAGAAGGTGCTCTGAACCATATATTCACTGAGAGCTTACCCTTTGAAGGTTCTCAACCAAGAATCTTCAGAATAAAGTTGGGAGACAAGTGGTTTTCCTTTCTAGAACCAGAAGCACTTGCGGGAAAGCTGAACAGGTAACCTCTTTGTAGGAAATTACTTCCACCTCTAGTTGTATCCTGAATGTCTTGATGGGCACCTATATTTTGAACAGATGATACTTAAATTGTTAATGATATTGTGAATATTTATCAGTGGTATATTGTAAGGGTGTTGGCTGCTACAGTTCTGGAATACTTGTACACTCTCCTGTGCTGTGGGTGTAGCCCATTAGTAGAATGCTTGCCTATAACGCTCAAGGCTTTGGATTTGATCCCCAGCACTGAAAAAAAAAAAAAAAAGAACAAAATGAAAACGAAAGTGTCTAATACTGCTCTTATAGTAGATAATTTCTTTGTTTCCTACCATGATCTATTTATTTATTTTTTGGTACTGGGGATCCAACTCGGGTCTTTGCACTTTCAAGGGAGGTGGTGGAACCACTGAGCTAAATCCCCAGCCCTATCATGATCAATTTAAAGATAATTATTTTCAGTATAGCCATTTATTTTTAATTTTACCATAGTTATTATAAGTGAGAAAAATTAGTTTTTGTGTGTTTACACAGGGGTTTCCTGGAAGCATCTTCATGCCATCCTGTCAAAACCATAAATGAGAAACTCATTGCTGAATTGGGCACAGCTTTCCCTCTGAAAATGCTGAAGTGTTCCTGCCCCCTGCTGCCACAGGAAAGCACCAGTGTTTTCCCTTCCTGGAACTGTGACATTCTGTTTGCCTTTTGGATTAGTCTCTATGAAGATAACTTAAATTCCAAGTCTTTGACTGGTGAAATAATACAAGAAATTGAGGACTCTATAGTGTCATTTTCAGAACTCAGCCTTCCAAAGAGTCCTAAAGGAGATGATAATGAAGAAGCTCTTGAAGGAATCCATGGACAAGTCAAGGTCTGCCTTAGATCTTCTCTCCTAGTTCATGTTCAGGCTGTCATTCAAGCGCCAGACTTCCTCCCAGGTTCTTTACACATCCTCAGTGGACTTGTTTTTCGGAAGTGCCACATTTTGCCATTCACAATGCCAGCATTTCACGAGACTTTAATTATCCTTGGGGTTAATCAGAATCTGAAGCATGACGGTCTTTTTGCATTGCTGGATCACCTAAAAGGCATTCTAGATAGCCTTCTGATCCAGACACTGTTGGAGGATGCTAAGATGAGCAAAGTGGAGTTTGTTCCTCAACCAAATGGAAAAGATTATATGATTCAAGTGATGTCTCCTAATTTTGGCCCAGATTATGCCACAGATCTGATTATTGGGGCTGTCAACACATCTGCTACAAGCAATACACATAAGGACCAAGGTTTTGTGATTGTATCTATAAACTTGGACTTACTAACTATGCTCATTTGGCATATCTCTGACTGGAGAATGTTATGGACCTTTGATAACCGTTTCCTGAAAAATTTTGTCCCTGAGAAAATAGTGCCCTTTAAAAGCTATTGCCTATATCCTCCATGCTATGTGCATGATATTAGTTTTTGGTTAGATGAGAAGAAAGGATTTGATGAACTAGAGTTTCACACTGTGGCCCGAGCAGTGTCCCAGGACACTATTACATCTATACAGTTACTTGGTCGTTTTCAGCATCCAAGGACTGGACAGATCAGCTTATGCTATAGATTGACCTACCAGACATGTGATAAGGCCCTTACTCAGCAACAGGTAGCATTAATGCAGTGCCAGTTTAGAAAAGAGATTCAACAACAACTACATGTTACACTGCGATAGTTTAGTAGATTCTTTTCTACAGTATGATCCTTTATTGGATTCAGATGAAAAAGTAACCTGCAATTGGTTAGGTGTCCTCTCTGGACTGTGTTTTGTTTTTAAACCTTTTTCTCTGTGTGTATAGCTCTGTTGGTTGATAAAAGATACCTGTAACTGTATCTCTCAAATTTGCAAGCTGTAGTATGATTGGGCATATTTGTGGAGTTGTACAGTATTTTGTTCTTGAATAATAGTCCCCACCCCCAAACAAACAAAACAACAGCATCCTATACTTTAGGTTCTGTGTTGCTGAAGAGGCAGTAGAACTTAGGTGTCTAATCAAATGTATTTATATATTTATATTTTTTGAGACAGGGTCTCACTTTCTAGTTCAGGCTGACCCTGAGGCATTATGTAGCTCAGGCTTGCCTCGAACTCGTGGCAGTACTGCCTCTACCACCCGAGTGCTGGAATTACAAGTGTGAGCCACCATGCCCAGCTTATTTATAAATATATTTTCCACATTGTCAGTTCTGGTTCCCTTAACTCTATTTATTATCACACTAAATCAACTTAAAAGGTTGGTTTTTGGGGTTAGGCCAACATTTATTAGTTTGTAAGTTGCAGGTGTTTCATAATTTATGTTATTATCATGATATCATCATGCTTTTTCTGTAGTTGAGGATTAACATTTGGGTGGGACCCTAAAAGAGTGGTGGTGAACCTATGGCATGTGTGCCATGCTTGTATCATTGAACACTCTGAAAGGTTTGCTGTCACTGATTTAAAACCATGTTCTTCCTGCTACTTTGTTACTTTTCCTTATTTCTTGATCAACAGGAAATGGATATAAAAGATATATCCAAACAAGATGTTTAACCTGATGAGTACTGACCTCATGTGGGAATTGAGCAATAGGAGCAATCTCTTTTAATACTTGGGAAGTTTTAGTGTGAAATCAATCTTCTGGGACTGTTGATTTCAGTACTTTACCTATAAACTTGTTTGTGGCACAGAGCTTGTGATTGGGGGAGTGGACACAATATCACTATTAAATGAATGGTCTTTGGGCCAGTGATTTAGCTCAGTGGTTCCTTCACCTGCCTTGAGAGCACAAGGACCTGAGTTCAATTCCCAGTACAAAAAAAAAAAGAGTGATCTTCAAGATCAGTTATGTTATCAACAACATGCCTTTGTAAAACTGTCTGTACGAATTTAAGGGTTTTCTCTTGATCTGGTGGGAAGAAAATGGGTTTGTATGTTCTCAGTTGGAATATGGCACCACCATTTACTATGCCATTTTGGGCATTAGTTCTCTTATCAATAAAACAAGGTGGTTGTGAGAATTAAAAAAATTGTTTTTGGCTGGGTGTAGTGGCCCACGCCTGTAATCCCAGCACTCGGGAGGCTGAGGCAGGAGGATCCCTGTGAGTTTGAGATCAGCCTGGACTATAGTGAGTTCCAGGTCAGTCTCAACTACATAATGAGACCCTGTCTCAAAAAACAAAAATTTTTTTTGTTTGTTTTTTGAGACAGGGTCTCACTAAGTCACCTTGTTGCCCAGAATAGGATTGGATATTTTTCTTTTTTTTTGGTACTGGCGATCGAACTCAGGACCTTGCATTTGTGAGACAGGCAGTGGAATCACTGAACTAAATCCTCTGCCCTAGGCTTGAACTTTTGATCCTCCTGCCTCAGCCTCCTAGAATACAGGCTTGCATGCAAGTGTGCATCACAATGCCTGGTAAAAAATTTTAAAAGGAATAAAATGTAAAAGTGCTTACCACAATTCTGTAGAAACAAGAGTGACTTGATGTCTGAATTTGCTGTACAGAATTTCATCAGTGTTTCACTTCTTAGTTTACATTCTGGCATTACTGTTTTGTCTCTGAAGGACTATGAGTTACTGGCTGTCTTTGTCACTCTCAAGGAAATACAGAGAGGGCAAGGACTTTTTTTTTTGGTAACGTGGTCAAACTCAGGAAACTGCACTTGCAAGGCAAGCACGGTGCCACAGAGCTACATCCTTGGCTGGCAAGGTCTTAAAGCGACCTTTAATAGACCTCTCCTTTGGTATGCAGCTGTGCTAATTATCTTTAACTGAATACCTCGGAACACTTCACTGTTACAGAATTGTGTGGCCACTTTTTATTTGTGCTTTCATTTAAAGAGGGGAATTGAAGGTTTCTGTAGGCGATTGGTAAATGCTGAAAATTCAAAGAGGAAAATACCGAGAGTCAAAGTTGGTGGATGAGAAACGCCAAGTCTCAGCTTCCTTTAGTTTGCTTTTCCGGGATTTGCCCCAGTTGGCCCAACAGTAGTATAATTTAGTCTTTTCTGCGCATGTCAAGGTCTTTTGTCCCTCGGCGGACACCGTTTGGCAGTCAAGCTCTGTCTGCGTTCTCCCTGGCTTCGTAGAGTGCGGATATCTACCTTTTTTTCCGTGCTTGCCATGGCGAGCCGAGGGACTCGGCAGCGACTGAAGGGCGGCGGCGGTAGCAGCGGGGACACGGCCCCGGCTGGGGACAAGATGCGG